AGGATCTTTAGGTCATCTAGTCCACCCCCCCTGCCGTGGGCAGGGACATCTTCAACTAGATCAGGTTGCTCTGAGCCCTGTCCAACCTGACCTTGAATGTTTCCAGGGATGGGGCATCCACCACCTCTCTGGGCAACCTGTTCCTATCTTGTTCAGTGTTGCTTCTTGGAGTAGCTCTGGATTTTCCACAGGAAAATTGTTGATATCAACCTTTTTAATCCAAGGTGGAAGCTTTCAAATTCTAGGTCTTTTCTGATGAGGCAAAGGGAGCTGCTATGTAAGTGTAAGGAAAACAGGCTTTCTGGGGGAGAAGGGAAGAAAACAACAGCTCAGTCACCCTTCTGGAAAACCGTGTTTTTGCCAGGCAGGGTACAGACAGGATTTTCCACCCTCCCTGGCTCCAAACGCAGCAAAGAAGCTGAAAGTGCTGAGTTAGGTATTCCATTCCACCCCTGAGGGCCCTAGGTCCAGGAGGGTAAGCATATTTGGGATTAGTTCCCCAAATTCATATTATAATCAACCTATTAATAGGCTGGCTTGGTCCCACCCCCAGCACTTTGGCTGTAACTTTTCTTCTGGGAGACTTGACTGCCAAAGCGAGCGTTCCCTTTGGCATCGATTCAGGAGCTTGGGGAGGAGATAAAAATTAAGCTGGAGTCCCAATGAATGTGGTGCCAAGTCTCAGCTCACTGACTGCTCTGCTGCTCCTGGTAGGAAGGGTTGCCACACAGGGGGAATGCTTTATGGTGGTACGTATGAATAAAGAGCAAGGAATAGAGTAGATGCAAGAAAGGTGAAGCCTGGGAAAATGTGAGAGCTTGGGTGGGGATGCTGGCGAGACTTTGAAAGCAACAACAAAGGGAAACAAAGGTGGGGGAGAGCGACAGTAGATAACTTTTCAGTTGAAAGGCTGATAGTTTTGTGAGCTGAGGCTTGGATTTGCAGCTGAGGCTCTGGTTTGTCCCTACCGATAAGGACACTGATGGCACCTGTCATCCACAGTTCAATACCTTCTGGATGGCTCAGAAACTATGTAGGAAGGATCTTGCTGGAGAAAACCCTCCTTTTCTGTAGTTAGGGTGCTAAACATATTCTCTCCCTCTCCAGTGAATACTCTTTTTCCCACCCTAGAGCTTTGCTAGTCTAGACAGCTCAAGAAAATGAATGGCTTCAAACACGTGTGGTAATTACTGATCTTACACATAGGCTGAATGTTGGGCTCCAGTATAGTCTTGGTTTTCTGAGGTTAGAAATGTCTGAGAGTAGTCTTTCTCCTCCCTTTTGCTCATCCTTGCAGTAGGGATATGAGGAGCAGGGCCATGATAGTTTGTCATGTGTCGGGTTGTATGAAGTACTGAGAGCTTCAGTCTGCTTTTCTGTCCTTCCTGGCATGTGCTTGCCTTTATGAACCAGCTGGCTGGGAAGCTAGTGGGGAGGCCTCCGTATACCCTTGGAATCAGGGTACAGCTTTTGCAGATGGCTGTGAGCTGGTTGATGTTCTCTGTC